GAGTTGGGGGGGGGGGGAAGACGATGAGGAGGGTGATGAGCAGCAGCAGCACCGTGCCCTTCATGATGGAGGACGATGTGAAGGCCTTGAGGGGGAGGCGGGGGGAAGGAAAAATGGAGGGGTTTTAAGGGGGGGGGGTAAAAACCCCCAAATCCAGCGATTTCCCCCCCCCAAATAAAAGCAGCCCTTACTGGGGACGCCGGAGACGAGGCGGAGGGGCCGGAGGACGCGGAAGGCGCGAAGGGCTTTGACGTCGAACCCCCCAGGTTTCCCGCTCATGTGATGGGCCTCCCCCGGCTTGTGGGACGCCTGCTCCAGGATGACGCTGAAAAGCCTAAAAAACAGGGGGGTTGGGGGTGCGTGTGTATTATTTAAACCTCCCCCCTCCCTTGACTTGTGTCCTCCCTGCCCCGGGGACCGTCCCTCACCCCACGATGACGATGACGAAGTCGAGGAGGTTCCAGCCGTTGCGGATGTAGGCGCTGGGGTGCAGGACCAGCCCGTAGGCGATGATCTTCAGGAAGGTCTCCACCGTGAAGATGATGAGGAAAACGTACTCCACCTGCTCCTGGCAGGCGGGGACACACAAGGGGAGGGGGCACAGGTGTCCAAGGGTGTCCCATCCCCATAACAACACCTCCCCCCAGGGCAGCAGGGTGGTGGCCCAGCACTCCCTTCTCTCGGGGGACACTGGGAGCCACCAGCCATCATGGTGGGCCAGCTACCTTCCCAGAATCCTCTTCTCCAAGGGGACGGGGGCATTTGGGACCCCCACCCTTCCCAGGACCCCTTTCTCCCGTGGGACAGGGGACGGTGGCATTTGGGACCCCCACAACCCTTTGGAGACCACCCCCCCACACACCCTTCCCAGCATCCCCTTCTCCCGTGACCCAGGCGTCTGCGGGGGGGGTTTAAACCGGGATTAGCGCCGCCACTGCCCCCCCCGCCCCCCGTGGGGTAAGCGGCTTAAGGCCCCGGCACACACGTGTGCCATGGGAACAGACGTGA